GCGTTTCAGTTGTTGCTGGCATCGCCATTGTTGTATGGGTCAGCCAAAACGGTGAATGAAATCAAGTTAATATGAATACATCTTCTATTAGTTGATTGTAGCAAATATGGCCACAAGAGTTATATCATGGCAAAAACCATACCTGAATGGTTTGCACGGTAATGCCATATGCCGCCAAAGCGTGCGACAACGCTCTGTGTGCACTCGGGTGCTGCTGCGACCACCGAGACGCAAAGAACTTAGCAGAGGTGGGGTCACTTACTGGCAAAACAGCAAGTGGCTCGGATTCCCTCGTCAAGACTGGTCGTCCGGTGTCCATCGCCTACGGGGGGGGTTAGAAGGGGGAAGAGGGGGAGAAGCAGGGGGGGCAGGGGGACGGAGCAAGGGGGGCAGGGGTGGCGGAGGGAGGGGCGTCACATAAAAATTGCAAATGTAAGTAACTCAGTCTAGCGCTTCTAAAGAGTTGAGTTACCTGCTGCATGATGGTGTAGCGAGCCCCGTCCTCGTCCTCCAGTGTGATAAAAGCAGCACTCTTCTCGTGATGTTTCATGATTTGCGCTTCGACGTTGCGCTTGTTCGAGCGGCGGTAAATTCTCTTCAAGAGGGGGCCGTGCAAGTGCTCCCACATGTTTGTCGAGAATTCTGACACATGACCCGCCCTCCAGATAGCGTGAACATAATGCGACAGGAGATGAGTCTTGATGATGCACCACTCAGATTTTTTGGTGGGAAACGCCACTTGCAACTTCGCCACGAGACTGTCCAGAGCCAGGTTGCGGGAGAAATGGGGTGTATGATGGGACCGTACGGGAGATAATGGGCTGGATTAGGGATAGTAGCTTGGAATTGAATTGAGCAGAGGTTTGCCCCATGCATTCCTCTGCCCCTCCCTCTCTCTGCTCTGCCTCTACCCACCAGTGGCAGGTAACGGACTACGTTGATAGTATGGGTCGGGGGGTGAGGCTTGGAGAGCAGAAAGGAGACTCCAGCATTGCCTCTGCCCTCTCTCTCTCCCATCTCGGTTCAGCCACTCCTGTCAGTGGCATGGAAAGAAAGGCCAGAGAAGGGGCTGGAATGAGGGTATGGGTGGGGGGGCTGAGGCTTGGAGAGCAGGACAGAGACTCGAGCATGCCTCTGCCCTCTCTCTCTCCCATCTCGGTTCAGCCACTCCTATCAGTGGCAGGGAAAGAAAGGCCAGAGAAGGGGCTGAAATGAGGGGATGGGTGGGGGATGAGGCTTGGGGAGCAAACCAGAGACTCGAGCATGCCTTGCTCTCTCTCTCATCTCGGTTCGGTCGCTCCTGTCAGTAACAGGGAAAGAAAGACCATAGAAGGGGCTGAAATGAGGGTATGGGTGGGTGGTTGAGGCTTGGAGCGCAAAGCAGAGACTTGAGCATGCCTCTGCCCTCTCTCCCATCTCTTTTCAGTCGCTCCTGTCAGTGGCAGGGAACGAAAGTCCAGAGAAGGGGCTGAAATGAGGGGATGCGTGGAGGATGAGGCTTGGGGAGAAAAACAGAGACTCGAGCATGCCTCTGCCCTCTCTCCCATCTCGGTTCAGACCTCCTGCCAGTAACAGGGAAAGAAAGGCCATAGAAGGGGCTGAAATGTGGGTATGGGTGGGTGGTTGAGGCTTGGAGCGCAAAAAAGAGACTCGAGCATGCCTCTGCCCTCTCTCCCATCTCTGTTCAGTCGCTCCTGTCAGTGGAAGGGAAAGAAAGGCCAGAGAAGGGGCTGAAATGAGGGTATGGGTGGGTGGTCGAGGCTTGGAGCGCAAAACACATACTCGAGCATGCCTCTGCTCTCTCTCCCATCTCGGTTTAGTCACTCCTGTCAGTAACAGGGATAGAAAGGCCAGAGAAGGGGCTGAAATGAGGGTATGGGTGGGTGGTTGAGGCTTGGAGCGCAAAACACAGACTCGAGCATGCCTCTGATCTCTCTCCCATCTCGGTTTAGTCACTCCTGTCAGTAACAGGGATAGAAAGGCCGGAGAAGGGGCTGAAATGAGGGTATGGGTGGGTGGTCGAGGCTTGGAGCGCAAAGCAGAGACTTGAGCATGCCTCTGCCCTCTCTCCCATCTCTTTTCAGTCGCTCCTGTCAGTGGCAGGGAACGAAAGTCCAGAGAAGGGGCTGAAATGAGGGGATGCGTGGAGGATGAGGCTTGGGGAGAAAAACAGAGACTCGAGCATGCCTCTGCCCTCTCTCCCATCTCGGTTCAGACCTCCTGCCAGTAACAGGGAAAGAAAGGCCCGAGAAGGGGCTGAAATGTGGGTATGGGTGGGTGGTTGAGGCTTGGAGCGCAAAACAGAGACTCGAGCATGCCTCTGCCCTCTCTCCCATCTCTGTTCAGTCGCTCCTGTCAGTGGCAGGGAAAGAAAGGCCAGAGAAGGGGCTGAAATGAGGGTATGGGTGGGTGGTCGAGGCTTGGAGCGCAAAACACAGACTCGAGCATGCCTCTGCTCTCTCTCCCATCTCGGTTTAGTCACTCCTGTCAGTAACAGGGATAGAAAGGCCCGAGAAGGGGCTGAAATGAGGGTGTGGGTGGTCGAGGCTTGGAGCGCAAAACACAGACTCGAGCATGCCTCTGCTCTCTCTCCCATCTCGGTTTAGTCACTCCTGTCAGTAACAGGGATAGAAAGGCCCGAGAAGGGGCTGAAATGAGGGTATGGGTGGGTGGTTGAGGCATGGAGCGCAAAACAGAGGCTCGAGCATGCCTCTGCCCCCTCTCCTGTCTCGGTTCAGTGACAGGGCAAGAACGGCTAAAAGAAGGGGCTGACACGAGGGTGCAGGTGGGGGGGTGAGGCTTGGAGAGCTCAACAAAGAGTCGTGTAAACGAAAGAAGACCCTATCCGGCCCCATCCAAAACAAAGATATGGTATTAAGGTAATAAGATATGCATAAGTGGGAGAAGTTGAGGGCTCACTCGACGGTCAATTCCTGCAAATGCCGAAGCGTGCCCTCCGTGTGACCTGGGAGCCGGGCGCAGTAAAGATACCACTCGAGGTATGCTCGAATGGCGCTCAACTGCGCATCCCCGAGCTTGTCCGCGACCACAAAAATCAACACCTGTGAATTCGGGGATTAAAAAAGGGGTATGAAAATTCTGACTAGAGAAGTCGCTATGACAGATTCATGGAGAGAGAGAACAGTAGGGTGTGGGCTGCCTCAGAAAGAGGGGCAGAGGGGGGGGAGGGGAGTGGTGGGTGTGGGACAGAGGGTAAGGGAGGATAGAGTGCTGCTCGTGCCAAGCAATGCCTCATTTACGGTTGTCACTAACCTGCAGAACAGATCGGTGCTCGAATGCGGCAACCTGGGCGTCGGACACGAAGTACGTCGAATTAGGGAGCCGCATATGTGTCATGCGGATGTCTGCTCTCAGTGATTTCAAACGCCTGAGCATGGTAGAAGAAGTAGGGATGACATACACTCCATTCATGAATTGAATGATGCTTTGCACAAGAAACCACGAATTCGCAACACAAGAGAGAGGAGATAGCAATGCCAACCTACATGAGACAGAACATAACCCACCCAAACTTACGCATCAAACAAGGGAAGCCACTTCCCCTGAGTGCAATGGATGGCGGTGACAATGTGCCCGAGGATCCCGAGATCCGCTTGATGCATGATGTCCGGCATGATGACGCGGTACGGATTTCCCCACGGTTTGTCAAAAACGTCCCATAGCCACAGGGAACACTGCACGCATAAAAGGGTTAGGGTGACTCTTATGAGGTGGAACCAGGATACCAATGAAGCAATGTATTGGAGGCTAATGGCAGTGAGGTTGAGGAGTGCGTAAAAGTGCAGAGATGTGGGGGGGTGCTTGGAAGGGCAGAGATGTGGGGGGGTGCTTGGAAGGGCAGAGATGTGGGGGAGTGCTTGGAAGGGCAGAGATGTGGGATAGTGCGTGGAAGGGCAGAGATGTGGGGGCTGCCATTAAAAGTGCACTCACACTTACGTCGACGTCGAACGTCGAGTACTCCATCCCGATCGTTTTTTTGTCATCGAAGGGTTTGTACCAGTTTTCCTTGATCCACTGCTGTTGCACAACAGTGCGGTTAACGTTTGGAGCTGATACGGCGCACAAGTGGTCCTGCATGTAGAATCGGATACCCACACGTATATACATGCAATACAAGTATGAGTTGAATGTGTGCGATCATAATTAGGCGTTTAGTGCAGAGAAGGACAACTCAACGACAATGTCACATACCCTGTGGGCATAGCATATGCTGCACGGCCGGTTGGTAGAGCCCGAAAGAGTGCACGTAATTTTGCAACTTTTTGGAAAGTCACACACCCATGCGTACAGCATGGGTATGACGAGATGCTCGACTCCATTCGGGTCCTTCATCTTGAAACCACTGCAATGCGTTGGAAAAAAGGCAGGATGGGTTTTGGGGGACGAGGCTTGGTAGAACGAATCATATAGAGGGGTGGTTATACTTCTATACGGAAACGCTTCCCTTTGAGATGGCACTGATAAAATGTCACATGCGCAGATTGCGGTGGAAGTGCGCATGAGAACTGGACATCAAAGCAAAGTTAATATAGGGCAAGTGTGATTAAAACCTTTTCAACCCCTCGAGGATGGGCTGCAGCATGAGCTCCACGGCTTTGTGAAATAATTCGGTGCTCTGAGCCGAGCTCATGCCGGCCGGTGGTATCGGGAGATTCCCCAAAAGCACGTGGCCAGAAGATGCCCAACATTTCCCCTGGGAGATGTTGACGAGACTCATCATCACCGGATGTGCCTTTTTCCTGCCGTTGTTGCTGAGGTGTGTGACGTCACTATACAGGATAATCCCAGCGATGACTACGTCTGGCCCAACATGGGCCTGAGGTTCAAGGTAAACAATACCACAGACAGGGACATAGCATAACATAATACGGATGGAGGGGGGTATGTGAACAAGATTAGAGCATACGGGAGCATGAGTGTGCATCTCACTCCACTCCCCTTCTCTGTCCGCCCAGGGTTCCTGTGTGTGGGAGGGAGGATCAGGCAGAGGGAGGCAAGGATAAGGGGCAGAGAGAGAGAATGAAGAAACAAGGTGCATGCTTGAGCTCCTCATTCCCCTCCGCTCCTCTGTCCGCCCTCCTCTGTCCCTCTCCTGTGTGTGGGTGGGAGGGACAGGCAGAGGGAGGCAAGGATAAGGGGCAGAGAGAGAAAATGAGGCAACAAGGTGCATGCTTGAGCTCCTCACTCCCCTCCGCTCCTCTGTCCGCCCTCCTCTGTCCCTCTCCTGTGTGTGGGTGGGAGGGACAGGCAGAGGGAGGCAAGGATAAGGGGCAGAGAGAGAAAATGAGGCAACAAGGTGCATGCTTGAGCTCCTCACTCCCCTCCGCTCCTCTGTCCGCCCTCCTCTGTCCCTCTCCTGTGTGTGGGTGGGAGGGACAGGCAGAGGGAGGCAAGGATAAGGGGCAGAGAGAGATAATGAAGCAACAAGGTGCATGCTTGAGCTCCTCACTCCCCTCCGCTCCTCTGTCCGCCCTCCTCTGTCCCTCTCCTGTGTGTGGGTGGGAGGGACAGGCAGAGGGAGGCAAGGATAAGGGGCAGAGAGAGAAAATGAGGCAACAAGGTGCATGCTTGAGCTCCTCACTCCCCTTCGCTCCTCTGTCCGCCCTCTTCTGTCCCTCTCCTGTGTGTGGGTGGGAGGGACAGGCAGAGGGAGGCAAGGATAAGGGGCAGAGAGAGAAAATGAAGCAACAAGGTGCATGCTTGAGCTCCACACAACCCTCCTCTCCCATCTCCGCACGCCTCTAACCATCTCATGGCAGTGTGTGAGAGGGCCGGGCAGTGCGAGTCAGTGAACTGTTGGAATATGTTTTGTGCAGCGAAGATAGCATTTAAAGACGTGGCAAAAAGAAGCATTTGTACTACTCATTCTCCCTCTCACCTGGTCCTCATGCCACCAGGTCGCTGTCTCCGGTGTGGTGTAGCGTCTCTGACGGGTCTTCGGGTCAGTGTCTACCCGTGGCTTCGGAACGAACCGAGGCGCATTCCGCGGATCGCCAAACAGGTCGGCCAGAGCCTCGACGAGACAATCACGACGCGATTATGATGAGCTAAAAATAATACGTGCAGCGAAATAAAGGTCGTATCAACAAACTGCATAGGAAATAACTCACACAGCACGTACCTGTAATGAGTTACGGAAGAACAGCGTCTGCGCCGGGAAGCCCGCAACCTTGAATGTTACAGTCGAGTACCCACGGCCTAGACCACGCAGTTGGTCCAACTCGAAGTGCTCGAGCTCTCGGCAGCTGGTGTACTCCTCGAGCACTCTCTGTGCAAGTTCCGGAACCATTAGAAGTTGCAGCAGTGCGTAGATGTCCGTCTCTGCCAAACCAAGCCGTCCGTTGGCTTTCCGCACAAAGTGCAGAAAATGAAGCGCAGCGGGATTGCTCGGTGGTGGACGCCCGAAGCTTGTTGGTACGAAGGGAGCAGCGGTATTTCTGCCGCTGTTGTTACTCTGAGGCGAATTCGCTGTGTGCGCGCCGGTGACTGCCTCGGGCATTTCATTTCCGGGTGTAGAATATGAGGAATTGCTGCCGGAATGCTCACCGTCTTCCTGTGACTGTACGTTGTCGCCATGTACGTGATGGGCCGGAACATGGGCCGTATTCTCAGCATCGGGAACAGGTGTTGTGAAAAGGACAATGTGCTCTTGTAGTGAAGGTCCACCCTGACGCAGTGCTGCATATTTGACACGGCATACAGGGTCCCATGCCTTGTGCCGCCCGAAACACTGGGCACTTCGAAATCTCCCCTTGCAAAAGACGCACAGTAACTGTTTGTTGATGTTCATGCTATGACCAGCTGTAATATGAAGAGTCCCGAGAGTGGCCGCATTGTACAAGTGCTCTTTAGTAGCGGCTAGGCCTGAGAGGTCGACCTGCGAAGGGCGTGAAAGGTGACTCCCTATAGGGGTATCGCGGCAGCGACCAGAGGACCGGGTTCCTATGAGACACACCTCGAAGTAAGTTCTACATGTTGATGCTACACAGAGGACTGTGACTAAACTTAGACATACGAGTGTTGAGTGGGAAGTATAACTGCTCCGCATTCTGTCTAGCCTATGGCCCTGCGTATGATCATGATTTACTCGCCGCGCACCGCGCCGTGATGTAGGGGTGAATTGGCGCGCAGCGCGGCCCCGCCGCGAGCCAAGGTGCTACCTACACTCGCAATACGTGCTGCACGAGGCGTTTTAACGTGGTGGGTAATGGCAGGCACAGTATTGAGCCGCGTGCGGCTGCTGTGACGGATGGGCTCATGGAAGGACAGCGGGAAGGGGACGATGTTCCATACCACCCTTAGAGCTTAGAGAATGGCGGACCTTGCGCTTGTCTATCCCCCCAGAGGTTCTTGTGAGAATTCCTCTGCAGTCTAGAGAAAACCGAGCAAAAGTTAGAAGAAGCTAAATCGCCAAATGAGACTGTCAGGCTCAAGCCTCACCCTAAAGCAAGAGACTTGTGCGTGATTATCACGTCACGCAGCGGAAGGCGCACTTCACTGTGATTGTAAGGCGAAGCGACTCGGGAAGGATCACTGCACGGAGTAAGCGTGCTCTGGCCGACTCTGTTTGCTGTGTGGTGCGGCTATTTGAATTCTGAATTCGAAGTTTGAACTGACGGGAGGGGATGTGTGCACTGCCCACACGAGCAACTCGCGGTTCGCGATATTGGCGAAATTGTTATACTGTTGCTGACATTACTGAAACAATCAAATCTAAAATATCAGAATCAAAAACCAAGGGCCCTAGGAATCAGAGCATAATCTCTAGAAAACTGGTGTCGAGAAACAACCCAATCACTAGCAGAGCTTTCTGACGAGGTTCGGTTTGTGGCGAGGATTGAAATCCAATACCCGACAACTCTACATCAGATTCAAGCTACTCTCACATAGCACGGCATGATAAACATATCTAGCCTTCATGGACAGAGCTGAGAATGATAGGGGGGTCTCAAAATGGTGTCAAGAGACTACCCTACCACTTGCTCAGCTTTCTGACAAGGTTTGGTTGGTGGCGAGGACTGAAATCCAATACCCGGAAAATCTGCATCAGATTTGGGCTTCCCTTACATATCATGGCATGATGAACCTATCTAGCCTTCATGGACTGAGCTGAGAACTATAGGGGGGTCTCAAACTGGTGTCAAGAGACTACCCTATCACTTGCAGAGCTTTCTGACAAGGTTTGGTTGGTGGCGAGGATTGAAATCCAATACCCGGCAACTCTGCATCAGATTTGGGCTTCCCTTACATATCATGGCATGATGAACCTATCTAGCCTTCATGGACTGGGCTGAGAATGATAGGGGGGTCTCAAACTGGTGTCAAGAGACTACCCTACCACTTGCTGAACTTTCTGACAAGGTTTGGTTGGTGGCGAGGACTGAAATCCAATACCCGGCAAATCTGCATCAGATTCGGGCTTCCCTTACATATCATGGCATTATGAACCTATCTTGCCTTCATGGACTGAGCTGAGAATGATAGGGGGGTCTCAAAGTGGTGTCAAGAGACTACCCTATCACTTGTAGAGCTTTCTGACAAGGTTTGGTTGGTGGCGAGGACTGAAATCCAATACCCGGCAACTCTGCATTAGATTTGGGCTTCCCTTACATATCATGGCATGATGAACCTATCTAGCCTTCATGGACTGGGCTGAGAATGATAGGGGGGTCTCAAACTGGTGTCAGGGTGGCAGACAAGGTTTGGTTTGTGGTCAGCACATGGCAATGGTGGTCAGAGTATGAGTTGTTAAATGTTAGGTTCTTCATTGGTATTGCTCGATATGTTGATTTTGGTAAATTACAGCCAAGAAACAACCCTGATGCGGAACTGTAGAGGAGCTGTAGAGGAACGGGTAGAGCCATTCAGATGAAGTTTTGGACTATAATCCTACGATATATGAGCGTTATGAGATATCGATGTAGGTGTTCATTTGGAGACACAGACCAACCATAGTTTGGTTTCAAGCACTATTTTCAGCCCTAGTACGCTAGAGGTTACCTAAATTTATCATAATACTTATAATTTACCACTCAACAAAAGCCCCAACAATTTAACCAATAATGTTGCTTCCAATATGACATGTCTGTGAGACTAGTTATTTGTGTAAGCATACAGAATTGAGCATTTTCACTGTTCTGGGTGTTATTGACATCATGAATGGTTTTAACTTGGGCCTTCCTTTTTTTGGCGGTTTCACATGTGAAACTGCGTTGCAAGTGGGGGCATGTTACACAACAGTTTCAAGCTACAGTGCGATTTTCACGAACCGCCTTTCATAATGCTGACTCATATCTACTGTTTCGTTTCTTGTGAGGGTGTGGCCGTGCAGCGTTGTGCGCCAGAGCCATCAAGGAATCTCTTCAAGTTGTCCTGCTATCGCTTCGTTTGCAACAGTGTTATTGTTTCTTGCACAACCATGTGTTTTGTTTCAGCAAGTTTGAACTTTGTGGGTGTGTTACAATTGTAAACCCTAAAAGTACGGAATGTCTAAAAACAGAGCATCTTGTTACGTTCCTCAGTGATTCAAACTGGCACTGATGTTTGAGCGTTGGTCCCAAACCCTGGCGTGGAAGAATTGTTGCGGAAATGTTAGATGCTTACGAGTTACGAGCCTGAAACAAAAAATATCTCAATCATCTGCAGCCCGAAATTGTCCTGATCACCTTCCATAGTCGTTGGTCTCTTTCCGACTTGGCGAAGGTGCAGGTACTGTTCAGCACAGCGTTATGCACCTCACATCACTTCACCACACCACAACCCATCGCACCTAGAATGACCTCTCCTAAACCCACGGCAAGACACCGACTTTTCGTCACACAACGCCAGCTCCCATTTTGTGGCCACCAGTTTGAAATACTGTACGTACAGTATTCATGCCCATTCAAATCCAACACCCCTTCCCCTCTACCCTACCCCCCTGCTCGTTCCCGCACCTCGCCTGCTCATCCCCGCTCCCTGACCTCTTCGTCCCCGCACCCTTGCCTGCTCCTCCCCGCTCACTCACCTCCTCGTCCCCGCACCCTCGCCTGCTCCTCCCCGCTCCCTCACCTCCTCGTCCCCGCACCCTCACCTGCTCATCCCCACTCCCTCTGCCTGCTCGTCCCTGTTTCGACCCCAAAACTTACACAGTAATTTAAGCCTCTCTCACGCTTGGTGCGCGAGCTCCTAACCTTCACATTTCCTACCCTGCCTGCTTCGTACGCGTTCCAATTTTTGGCCGTCAAATATCGGTGTCTGGAAGGGTGCACAGTAAACTGTGAAGTCTGTTAGATGGCTTTGCTACATACTATGCTTAATTAGGAACGTTAAACGAGATACACAGTATAATCAAAGAAGAGAGACTCACACGGGTAGAATGAACGGGTTTGTGGCGGAGCATGGGGTGGGAGGTCATGAAGGGGAAGGAGCAGCCTACCCAGGAGAACCGACAGGGGAAGGGAGAGGCTACGCGCAAGGGGAAGGGGGAGGATACGCGACTGGGGAAGGGGGAGGATACACGACGGGGGAAGGGGGAGGATACGCGACGGGGGAAGGGGGTGGATACGCGACAGGGGAAGGGGGAGGATACGCGACAGGGGAAGGGGGAGGATACGCGACAGGGGAAGGGGGAGGATACGCGACGGGTTCATGGGGGGGATACGCGCAAGGGGAAGGAGGCGAATATGCGACAGGGGAAGGGGGAGGATACGCGACGGGTGCAGGGGGAGAATACGCGAAAGTGCAAGGGGAAGGATACGAGCAAGGGGAAGGGGGGGGAAATGAGACAGGGGTAGGGGGAGGATACGCGACCGGCACACAAGGAGAATACGAGACAAGGGAAGGGGATGGGTACGAGGGCGAGGAAGGGGGCGAGGACGGGGGAGAGGAAGGGGGAGAAGACGAGGGAGAGGAATGGGGGGAAGAAGATGCGGAGATAACTACCACAACGGGAGCTTAGAGTACTGGCTAGGCACGTGTGCTCGTGTGATGTCTGCGTTCGTTGGTCCTTAGACGTTTTCCTAGTGCTCACACTGCTTGCTAGTTCACGGGGCAATTTTGGCAAGAGTTTCACTAGAGAAAGTTGTCAATGATGGTACAATGAAGTTGGCAATACAAGACTACATCAGAGCTAGCATTCAGGTTGGTCGACTGCCAGCACAGCATGGTCGACCGCGTTCCAGCACGACTTGGTCGACCACGCTACAGCAGTGCAAAGCCAACGCTGCAGGTTGACGGTGTGCCAGCATTGCTCACGCAGGACAGCAGTGCACCCGCTTTGCAGGTGCGCGCAGATGATTGGCATGCAAA